TTTATTTAGTTTGTTGCTTAAAATGTTCCAACTTTGGTCACTGGGGGCTCTGTCTATTAGCTTCTGTGCTCTGTTGGCATCTGTGTGACCAGATGCATCAGACCCTTACAGGGAATTGAGAAGTATGACATCTGTTCCAAAATATGTTTGAAGTTTGTTCTTCTTAAGCTACATAAGTTATTTAGGGAACAATATAGACCTAAACATTTTGTTAAGACTTCTTCTTAAGCCTCTTGTGAAGACCACTTCTCTGTTCTGACTATTTGACTTCTTGTCAAGTCTCTTGTGAAGACCACAAACTGCCACTTCTCTGTTCTGAGTGTTTGACATAGATGAAGACACCTTCCTCTTAAAACACTTTCTTCACTTGACTTGTTAGACTCAACCTCTTCCAGTTATCTTCCTTCTTCACTGACTAAACTCCTTTCCAAGTTCCTTTGTTGGTTCTTCAGAACTCCAGTATCATGGAATCCTCAAAGGCCAACTTTTGGACAGCTTCTTGTTGTTCTTCTACGCATGCTCTCTTTGAGATCTGATCTCTCACTCTTCTTCACAACTTTGAACCCTGTCTGCATGTTGTTAATTCCCAAAACTCCTATTTCTAGCCAAGACTTCTTTTCTGAAGTCTAGATTCATCTAGCTGACTCTTCTTTATTTCTATTGAGACGTCTATTAAGCATTTCAAATCTAAACTCTTTATATCCTCCCTCTCTAGCTATCCTTTTGCCCTCTATCCCCCAAAACTAGACCTGTCTCTGAAGGTCTGGGGGTTTTCAGTAAATGAAACCTTCATCCTTTGAATTGTTCAGAACAAAAGCCCTGGAGTCTTTGGTTCACTTCCAATTCCTCAGAAAGCTTGTTAGCTTGACTTTTGAGATCTATTTTAATCTGACCATATCTCATCTTTTCCACTGTTGCTATCTTGGTTTGAATAACTATTCTATTTTAGAGGACTATTACTGCAATAGTCCTCTAAGAGATTCTGCTTTTACCCGTGACTGGCCTGCAAATGCCCCATCACCCACATCATGTAATTTCAACACAGCAATAAGAGTGATTCTTTACAATGTAGGCCATGTTATGCTATTCTTCTGTCCAACCCTCCACTAGCTTTCTAGTTCAGAACAAAAGCCAGTGTCATTAGAACAGTTAATATCTCAGTTACTTAGATTGAACCTCTTAACAACCCCCCCCCCCCAATTGCTCAGTTGCCTCAGTTATTCTGAGTATTCTGCTGTTTGCAAACGTCATGCATGCTCTCTCGCTGGTCTTTCCTCCCGGGGGGCCTTTTCAGGTATGCTCTTCCCATATGAGTTTAGCCACGTGGCTTGCTCATACTCTTCTTTCATGTCTTTCCTCAAATGTTACCATTTCACTAAGGGCTTCTATGAACACTAAAATGGTGGGTGATCTTCACAATATCCTGGGCGCTCTATTCTCCTCCCACATTTAATTTTTTTACCTTAGCACACATCATCTGCCATCCTTCAGCTTCTACTTAGATATTAGATTGTTTTGCCCCACAATGTGGGCAGGACCAGGGAGAAAGCACCAAATGTGGTAATTGTTGAATGAATAAATGAACAGAAAAGGGTGACAAAGATTTCATATGTGTTAAAACTTCTCCCCTTATCACTTACTGAATCTGAGCTTTATCTTTGTCAGATTTAACAATAATACAAGTCCCCCCCCCCAAAAAAAATGGGGGAAAAAGTCAAGGAGAGATGAATTCTACAAGGAGGAAATCAGGAAACTGAGGCAGCAGGAGAGAAAAGGGGACAGAAGAGGCCACTGTATTGGGAGAAATAGACACAAAAGAGAAAATGATGGGACAGAGGTGTGTACTAAGGAGAAAATCTGCAATATTCTTTTTGAACAGTTTCCTTAAACCCTGAAGGTGGCCAAACCCACTGCAGCACCCAGTCAGAGTCCTTCCCCAGTTATAAGCCATCTGGACTCCTGGGTTGATTCAGTGACTCAGTACTGGGGAAGCACATTATAGCTCAGTTAGGACATCTCTGATAAAAGGAACTAGAAGCACATTCATAAGGCTCTCCCACCTTCTAGTTAGTCCACACTGATTTTCCAGGACAAAGCCCAGAATTAGTGGAGTCAGGAGTCAATACCACAGTAGTGATGACATGGACAGGCTCTCTGTAATTCTGGTGAAGCTACAGGCTAGCTTGATCCTTTGTCCGTTCAAGATTTAGCCTACTGGAGACTAGTTACAGTCTAGATAAAAAGGGATGGACAACTTAACTCTACCACAAGTAGAAGAATCAACATAAATGTGGTCACTCCAGGTCCTTCATATGTTTGTTACAGAGAGGGTGTGATATTTTTCACTGGCCAGGAAGGGTAAAGAAGCAAAAAACCTCCAAGAACCCTGCAACTTCTAGTTAAATAAGTTTTCTGACACATGGCAACTGGTGATTAATTACTGTGTTGGAAGATAACATTCCTATAGAGATTTGCTGGAAATACAGATGCTGCCCATGCTTGATTAGACATTGCTTAAGGAATGCTGAGGCACACTGCTGCAGTCTATTATTTCTGGCTATTTTGGTATCGCTGTTATATTTATTTTACATAGCTTTGGATTCTGTGGAGTTGACAGAGCCCCTTTCACAAAACCTGTTCTACCAAACAAAGAGAAACTAAGGTTATAAAGTATGTCTTGGTGTATATATATGTATGCATTACAGCGGTAAGAGAAAATTAGGGAGAAAGTCACTATAAATAGTAGGGCTATATTATTCCTTTTTAGAACACTTTCTGCTTGACAAAGAATGATAAGGGAGATGGTCTGTTTCTAAGAAGCCTATGAGGAAATTGACCCACGTCAGATGGTTAGAAGTTTCAGGGCACTAGTGACTTACCTTTGTCATTATCCAAATCTCTCACCAATGCCAAAAGAAGCCTTGATTTGATACCTATTCATTCATCTAATGAAGCTAAGGAACATTTATATGGTCTAGAGTATGGGGGGAAACAGGTAGAAAAGTCCTGGCTTCTGGTTACTACTGATCTAGCAAGGTGTATTCTGGGCCAGGATTGGGAAGACAGAGCCATCCATCGCCCTCTGTGCATGGTGGGCCATCTCCTCCTTTCACAACCATTTGATATGAAGAAAGTGACAAATAACAATAGCGAAGCCTCTCTGGAGTGGTCACCTTTCAGCTTATGCCCACTTTCTTGGACGTCATTCACCCAAATGTGAAAGGCGTGCACTGGCTGTCATTTAATTATTTCCTGAAGAAACGAAATGCTCTGTTGACACACAGCCCCCGATGCCAACTGCAATACTGCCCAGTCAGCAGTCATTATTCAGATTATCATTCAGATGCCAGTATTTTCAGTGAGTGCTAAGGCCCCTTAACACATGCCAAAAAACTGTTAATTTACTTATTTCAGCTAAAAATATCATTTTAAAAGAGGATGATTGAATTTAGGAATTATCATCCTCAGAGAATTAGTAATGCTTCTCTATATCCCTTAGGCCTCCATGTTCTTAACTTCCCCTTGTCAATGTTATTATGAATAGACTAATTCGATAATGAGATCATTCCCCATAAGAGCGGCCAAATAAATGCAGCGTTCAGTCACACCTGGTTTCCTTAATCTGAGCAAGGAAGGCTTTCTACCAAACGTAGCCTAAAAGAGGGAATTTAATGAACACATACCCATAGAAGAAGAAAAAGAGGGAAGCAAGGGGGTGGGAAATCAGAGAACAGGGGAGCAGTGGGACAAATGGGCTCACGGGTTGAGGAAAGCTTAAAATTAAGATATATGGTCAGACAATTTCAAAATAAAGGGTCTGAGACCCTGTCTTGATAATTGTCAAAGTAATAAACTATTTCTTCATCCCTTTAAATGGCTCAAGAATTGCTTCAGATGTTCTTGAATTTCTCCAGGACTCACATAACCAAACAAAAAGATGCAAAAATATTAAATATTAGGCAGGAACATTCTAGATTAAAACCAACAGATTTCCTATGAGTGTATGGAATGATTCACAAGGTACACAAAGCAAGAAAGCAGTGAGACACAAACCACCCTCTGTCTTCTGCTACGCTACTTGGCTTTCATCAAGGTACCAAGGTTTGATGGTTTCATTGAGGTAGAGAGAGTGTTGAGAACACATGAAGAAAGCATAAAATTAACTGTCCAATTTGAAAAAGCATTTTATAAGGGTACATTAAAAGTCAGAAAAACAGTTGAGCGGCCAACCTAGAAAAGAACAAGGAGCAGAACTTTTAAAGGAAACTTTAATCACATGAGGGGAGAGCAGGACAATTCTACCTCCTGCCCATCCCAACAGCTCAGTAGAAGCAAGAGGAGGAAGTGGGTTTCAACTGGGAGAGATGAAAAAGAGATAAGGAAAGAGATTCATGTAAATATACAGGGGAAGAAATGAAAACATCCAAATGTTAAAAAAAATGAGCAAATGATTAAATAATTATGTTTCATTTGTACCATGGAATATTTGCTCAGTCATTAAGAGTGATATATTCAAGTACTATAACTAGACATGGGAAAACCTCCTTTTCAAAGAATATTTTTTACATAGGAAATGAAGTGAAAATTAAACATTAACCTATTTCCAGTTTTGCATTGAGAGAAATCACATCTTGTGTGAAAACTCACATATACACAAACCAGGGCACAGCATTCTACAGTTTCAGGATGAAGGTGACAAGTTATGTTTAGATTTTTTTTTTCTGTATTTTATCTTACATATTTTATACTATCAGCATATACTACCTTCATAATCAGGAAAAATGCTGCTTAAGCTTGTATTCAGGACTTAGGTTAGACAATAAGAAAAACTCCTTCCTTGAGTTTTATAAAATAATTTTATAGAATTATCTTCTGTATAACCTAGCAACATCTTTTTTGAAATATTAATTCAGATCCTACAAATCATTCTTAGGAATGAGTTTCTGGGCAATGAGCTCTTGACTTTGATACAAAGATCTGATCCCCAAATCCCCTCCTACCTTGCAAAGTCCAGGTCGGCCTCTCGGGACATGGTGATGTTAGTCAAATTCTGCTGAAGAACAAAAATGTTCCTGCACATTTTCTTGATGCCAGACTCACTGATGCGCCTGAAGTACTGTGCACCATTAATGAGGATGCAGGAGATCAGGTGTCCCAGTCCTGAGGGGCCAGCGCAAGGCAGGGGAGAAGAGAGAAGCTAGGTTAGCATTATTCTGAACACACGTTCTCAGGATTTCTCTCTACTAATCCTCCATTGAAACAGTCAACGAAAACATCTCTCTGGCAGCCACATCAGCTGATCTTACAATAATTTCAGTGTTTTTATGCCTGGTCCGTGCAGTCACCAATGGGCAGCTGTTTTGCTGGCAACAGAAGTTGGTACATCCGTAGCTCTAGCTATTGCCAAGTACACCTGCAGCTACTCAGTCAGGGTTTAGTGATTACACCAGGTTGTCATGAACTATTACAGCACATAAGAACTCTGGTTTTTCTGTACGATACTTCTGGAGGAGACAAGAACACATGTAAATACAATGATTTATCTGGTCTCTTCCTCCCACAAAACAGAAGATGTGTATTTTTGGCTCAAAAGTTGATTGTGAGCCTACTCGCACAAATAAATCATTAAGAAATTGGGTTCATTCCAGTAATTTCTTTTGGGGGGGGGTGTATTTACTTAACTGTACTATAGTTAGTTTGCATGAGATGGTTAAAAAGGCCAAAGGTTAAAGGTTTGCATTTTGTGTATTTGAAATTGCTATTCATTTATTAATTGGCCTGTTGGATATATGTGTGAAACATGTTGTCCAACACAAAGCAGGGTTTTTATCATGTTGAGTTGTTCTAAGACACACACACACACACACACACACACACGAAATGAGGATCCTAACATACTGTAGTACTGACTCCGGAGGGCAAGTTAAGGTAGTGATCTGAAGGAAAGTTGACAGAAGCTGTCTGGGAAGGCAGGCAGACTGGCCGTCAATAGTGGAATCCCTACAAGATACCCATGGTCATTTCTGGATCTCAGAGGATCAGTGGAGTGAGAAATCCACTCAGGATCTCCCATGTAGTGAAGCTGAGGAAGGTGGGTTCCACACTTCCTGAGGAGCATGCGGCTATTGTTTATTTTTGGAATCAGGTCAACTTCTTGTCCTTCTTTACTCCCTGACTACAACCTCTCCTCCAGCACACCAAAGCTATTCTGTCTAGGTGCAAGCAGGATTCTATTTTCATTATGTTTTTCCTCTAAGGTCATGGTTCCTTCCTGTTGACAAAGGTCTACTCCAGAGCCCAGGGTGCCCCTTCTGAATCAATGGCTCCCTCAGAGACTCCCCTTGATTAGGAGGAGAGCAGAAAGGAGAGGCTGAGGTGTTCTCTCTTGCTTCTACTATACTCACCCAACATTGCTTCAAGACCACAACTCACTTCTGTGTGCTACTACATGTGATTTTATGTTTGAATCTAGACAGTCTATTTATATGAAAAGTCTATGTTTAACTCTCTGAAAGTCAAGTTCTGACATGACTCTCTGATCCTCAACAGCGGATCCAGTTTTGTTCTTCTATGGTAAAAGTCAAAATGTTCAGGGGCAGGCAAAGAAGGGGGTGGACTGTCTAGAGAATATCAAATAATACCTATTTTAAATAAACACATGTGCAGAACAAATATATATAATAAATTATTGTAATAAAACCAGTTAAAAATCAGTCTCCTTAAGTTTATCAACTCTAAACATTGTCTGGGATACTCCTCCCTGTCCCCACACCAAGGAAGACTGAGAATACAACTACTTCTGCTTTCACTTGGCGGACGCAACATTATGCCATTTGAAAATTATATCGCAGAGGGAAAAAAAAAACACCTAACTTTTTAAACAGGAAGTCTCCATTTTATAATTTCTTAGCTGAAATCTGTTTTATGTCAGAAAAATACACCTGCATTTCCAGAAAATGCTGGAGCTCAGCAGGATTAGCTGTTAAGACATGTCTGGGCAAAAGAATGAGGAAAATTCTGGGAACTGTGCATGTTGCTACATATGGGTTGGAAGAGTCACAATCAAGAGCGAGGATGGAACTGTAAAGGAGGGGAAATGTGGTTTCCTCAGAGGACACTGCCATCACCACATGAATCCTACCCCCCTTCAAGAGCCAAGGCACTCACCTTTTCAGTACAGTTCTGTAGACCTATATCTCTTCAGAACACATCTACCTCTTTTTGATATAAATGTAATGGGAAAACAGAATTTGGGGGGGGGGAGGGTTGTCCAAACTTGCTGGAACATACTGTTTTATAATGTAAACAAACGCCTTGCAGTGACATTGCCTTTCTACAGTCAAGTTGTCACAATCCTCTGGACAATGTCTCTACTCAGTTGTCTAAACTGCACTCATTAAATTCTGAGACACACCATGATACTTTCGGCACCCAGGGCTACAGACAAACAAACCAAAATGTGAGAGAGGGCAATGTACTCAGAGACCTCACAGGGGCCCTATGGGAAGAATTCTGCTTGAAAATTTGTGTGGCTGACACAAATGTTGAAGTCCAGTGTCTTTTGATGATCTCATGATCTTTCACACCCTTCCTGCCTGAAGGCATCCATGGATGTGGCCTTTCTAAAATCCTGCTAATCAGAGCTTTCTATTCTTTTCAGATAACAATGCATTCCCTGAGAGAACTTCCTCTTCTACCATTCATTCTTTCAGAGTTCGCTCTTCCTGGTTCCCTTCTTTTATGGGCTCCTCTTGAGTTAATTTGTGGCCTGCTCTGCACATTTACCAACTCTCATGAGTGAACTGTCAGGGAGGCAGTGGGCTGCCATCTGCCTTATCTGGGATTAAATCTCTTTATGAACCAGGAGCAGATGGCTGCCATACTGCGGTCTACCTAGCTCTACTCTGAAAGACTGGGTGTTGGAGCTTTAATTCAAAAAGAAAAAGTTCTACAAGGTTTGAACTTCAATAATACAGGCAAACCGTCACCCTTCCTTCCTCCCAGACTCCCAGAACAGAGGCCATGTCTGACCTTCAAATATATACTGGAACTTGTGCTGCTGAAGACTGGCACTCATGGCTTCCTCAATGGCGCTGATGTCCTTGTTGAGCTTCACCACCAGAGGGTCATAATCCATGCTTTCCACATTAGCGACAATGGCATAGTTTCCCTCCTTTGCAAGAGGGATGAGATAGTGGAAACAGTGAACCCTGAAAAAAAAAGTTGGGGAGAATGATTACTGAGACATCTTTCTGAGGAAAATATTCACTTCTTGGGATGGAGTGCCCAAACAGCTGTGATAGGTGGCCCTGAAGACTTTTATTTGTCCCTCCCACCTTCCACCAGAAAGCCATCTTAATTACATGTGGAACAACAGAACATGCCAGCAAGTCAGCTTCTGTGATTTTTGCTGTTTTAATTTCTATGTTGAGAGAGAGAACAGCTGAGTTCTACAATTCTTTCCAATGACCAGACTGGTTGCTGTGAAAAGGATGATCTCTTTCTACAGATACTGTTACAGTTGAAATGAGAGGCAGAAGCCACAGGTTTTGGAATAAGACCACTTTATCTGCCTTTCCCATTTGCCAGCTGTGTGACTTTAGGCAAGTTACTTTCTATGTTTCAGTGTCCGGGTCTGGGAAATAGGGATAACAGCACTTAATTAGCTGGGTGCTCTGAAGAGCTTCTATATAGAAGGAGCACAGTACAGTGCCTGGCACTGTTGTTAGAATGTCACTGTTAATCTGTTGCTTAAACAGAACACTCATTGAACAACTAGGCATTTGCTGGTAATTTTGCAAGGCCCAAGGAATGTAGAGCAAAATTTGTGCCCTTAAAGATGCCACTGAAAAGACCAAGCATGACCAACAGGGGGCAGTGCCTTGCTCAGAAGCACAGGCGTCCTGGGGGCCAGGGAACTTAGCCAAGGGGGCCTCAGGAAAGAGTCCAACATTATTTAGAAAATGTC